TATATACTTAAAATAATAAAGTTTTGCAATGATTTTTAGTACATGCTACCATCATTTTAGATCAAGTGTTCACTTTGGAAGAATAATTTATAGTCCCATAGAACAGTAGATATGATCATTTGATAAAGAATAAATTCAAACATTATGTAAGATTATGATTGTACACATACAAGTCATGTTAGGACATTGTTTTACTCGCTAATACCATAATACTTTTCTTCATTAATGTTTGTTTACTCTTTTTTCTTGATGACCACAGTAGCGCATTAAAAACGTTTTGTTGATTTCAAAAGCACAATAAAATACTAAATTTTTTTTCTGTACTAAGAAACCTTTTGTAACAGCAAAGAGATAAAATAAATTATTTTATCTCTCAGCTGGGAAGTCCATGTTAACTTCAGATGCATCTATAAAGAAGGAGTAACACTATTTTCGAAAAGCAGTTAAAAATATTCTTTTGTTAAGAAACAACGTTAGGGAAAAGAGGTAACAAGGAGTTCAGATGTACAGAGCTTAGTTTATGGACAAATTCATGCGATTAGATAATATAGAAAAACATATAACAAATAAGAATTTCTTAAAAGTAATTCAATAATTAAATAAATACCAAATAATATCATTTCTACTAACTTCGATCCAATTGAAATATCATGCAAAGAAATTGTTATATTACCATATGAGATCTTTTATCAGACTTTTCAGATCCTTCTGATGCTTTTTTGTCATAAGAATTGAAAGATTTCCATTTCTCTCCTTCTGTTTTGTAATGATCTGTGTGGTTAATAGGATTTTCGCTTAAATAGTGCAGTTTTTTCTTTTTTTCTTCAGGTTCATAAGTTGTAGTTCCAGCATCTTTAAGTTTTAGTTTGCTGTCTTTTTTTTGTTTTTCAGAATCTGGTTTTTCTGCAGAGACTATTGCACAAACTTTTGTTATAATTTCGTCAGTCAGCGTAACAACATCTTGCATAAGGTCAATGTGTAATATATCATTAGAGTTCAACCTATTCAAATCATTTATCGTGCATGACCTAGTGTTACTAAAGTTTTTTTTATTGCTAGGACACGATAATGAAATAGCATTTAATTTATCACCTTTTAATAAATTTAAATTACTGCCCTTATTATGGATTGAGTTGTCATCAAATTTCAAGCCGTTGCTTGCAAATGGAGACTGCAAGCAGTTTTTAAGATTTTCCTCAAGAACAATGGCTAGAGATTTCTTAAGACTTTTACCTTCGTGTTGCTCTAAATATTTTAAAATACTCGCATGAATCCTGTAGTATACTTCTAAGGCCTCAACTGCTAAATTTTGAGGATTTTTATGAATTATCCTCTTTGGATACTGAGCTTCAATTTCATATAATAATTGACTAGCCTGCAATAAGAAAAAAATTATTAGAATTTAAACACAACAATCCAAGATCATAACTATAAAAATCAAAACTAATAAAAAGAGTAACATTATGAAAATTGGACATGTGAAAGAGCATGGAGTCATGTATCACGCACTACTTCAACTGACGTGTGCCCCCAACGTCTCTACTGATATTCTTAAGGTGTTTAAGCTTTCGAATTAGTTTTGAAAAAAGAGATAACATATTTATTATTCTATTATTCTATCTTGTTTCCTTCCTCTCACTTACGTACAATCCCTCACAAAAAACTGTTGTCTAAGCTATTAGTAAGGATTAAAATAGTCATATGGCTTTATCTGCACTATAACAAAGGTAAATAATTTATTCACAGAAGCACTTTCTTAAGTCAAATACTTTGGCATACTTTACTATCAAAATACGAGTAATAAATTCTTTCGTGTGAGACAACCGTATCCAAACTAGTCTGAATAAAGTTTACTCAGGACTTAACCAAACTTTAGATAATAATATTACCAGTGACAAAGTTAAAATGTCTTAGGTAATAGAGTTATGTAGTTGTCAATAATTTTGATTTAAGATTGTTCTTTAAGCTTTTATAGTTTTCTAAAATTTTCTTGAATGACATGTGCAATACCTATTTAGAGCATAAAGTAATACTGCAAATTAATTTGTACCTTACAAAATATAACTTTGAATGTATTAAAACAGTAGAATGAATAGTAGAATAGAATAAAAGCAGAAAAGATAGTAAGATTTGGCTGATAACAAAAGTTTCAGAGAACAGAAAAAATGCAGCTACTCAATTACAAACTTACAAAAGACTTTTCCTATAGACATTTAACGCTGCAAATAAAAAAAAAATTTTCCAAGCAAAATTTGGATTTTAAAGTATGGTCTATTATATTAAATCCATCAAAGTTAATTTTTAACTTCGATTCAAGATTTCGAGCAATTAAAATTCGTAAAATCTGAAGCAAATATCATTGTGGGTATTGTCTGTTTGAGCCAACTATTAACTACTATAATAGCTGAGATATAAAGTTTTCATTGTATTTTCTTTCGAAGAGTTTTTTTTTTATGTCTAACAAATCAATGATGTGAAAAATCACTATATCAATTGCAGAGATTCTAAAATTTCACTATTTAGTCGATCGTTGCCTGTATACAGAGATTACGCCAAAGAAAAGAGGGATGTGCACCTTATAAGCGAGTTTTTTTAATAAGAAACTTTATAATAAAATTCATTCATTTT